TTCATTGAAAAAGTAAATTGAAAAAGATACAAATAAATGGAAGCATATACCATGCTCATAGGTAGGAAGAATCAACATCATTAAAATGGCCATACCCCCCAAAATAATCTATAGATTTAATGTAATTTTTATCAATGATATTTTTCAAAGAACTAGAACAAATAATCTTAAAATTTATATGGAACCACAAAAGAACCTGAATAGCCAAAGCAATCTTGAGAAAGAACAAAGTTGGAAGTACCACGCAACCTGATATCAAACTATACTACAAGGTTATAGTAATCAAAATGGCACGGTACTGGCATAAAAGCAGACACATACATCAATGGAACAGAATAGAGAGCTCAGAAATAAACCCATGCCTGTAAGATCAATTAATCTATGACAAAGGAGGCAAGAATATACACTAGGGAAAAGACAGTCTCTTCAATAAGTGGTGCTGGGAAAACTGGATAAATAACAGGCAAAAAAATTAAATGACCAATTTCTTACACCATGTATAAAAATAAACTCAAAATGGATTCAAGACATAAATATAAGACCCAAAACCATAGAACTCCTAGAAGAAAACAAACTCTGTGACATTTCTCTTAGCAATATTTTTTTTTTGGATGGGTCTCCTCGGGCATGGCAACAAAAGGAGAAAAAAATGGAACTATATCAAAGTGAAGTTTCTGTACTGTGAAGGCAGCCATCAACAAAATGAATGGAAGAAGATATCTGCCAATGATATATTTGATAAAGAATTAATATCCAAAATTTATAAGTAACCCATACAACTTAACTTGAAAAAAACATAATCCAATTTAAAAAGTGGGCAGAAATGGCTTCAAATTATACTACAAAGCGACAGTAATCAAAACGGCATGGTATTGGCAGCAAAACAGACACCTGGACCAGTGGAACAGAATCGAGAACCCAGAATTAAACCCATATTTATATGGGCAAATAATTTTTGACAGAAAAGCCAAAAACATACAGTAGAAAAAGGAAAGCCTCTTCAATAAATGGTGCTGGGAAAATTGGAAGGCCACCTGCAAAAGAATGAAACTAGACTGTTGTCTATCACCACACACCAAAATTAACTCAAAATGGATTAAGGATCTGAATATAAGACCAGAATCAATAAAATGCATAGAGGAAAACATAGGAACTAAACTCAAGGACCTTGGACTTAAAGAGGATTTTATGAATTTGACCTCAAAGGCAAGGGAAGTAAAAGCCAAAATAAACGAATGAGACTACATCAAACTAAAAAGCTTCTGCTCAGCAAAAGAAACCGTCAACAAGGTAAAGAGAAAACCATCCGAATGGGAAAATATATTTGCAAGCAATGCCTCCGATAAGGGTCTAATATAGAGAGAGAGAGAGAGAGAAACTGCCATAAAATGAGGTTGGAGAGATGGCGGGGCCCACAGTGTGGAGTTGGGTTTTATGGAGCCTGGAACTTTTATAACTTGAGGGACCCTCTTTACAAAACTGAATACGAAATGGCCAAAAAACATATTTCTAGGATCTGAAGGTGGGGAGTCTGAACATTTCAAATTCAGAACCTTCTGAAACATCTGCCCTGGCAGGGCTGCACTGTGAGGGGCCTTGTTAAAGAGAAGGAGGCAGACAATGGGCAGTCACTGAAGGATTTTAAGCAAGAAAGTGACATCATCAGATTTGCCTTTTAGGAAAAGCACCCCAAGGGCTGTCTGGAAGATGGATCAGAGGAGCTTGTGTTAGACAGCTAAAAAACCAATTAGGAAGCTATTTTAATAATCCAGAGAGCCAAGTGTCTGAATATGGCAGAATTCATGAAGAAGGAATTGACCTAGCCTCACTCAGCACAATTATTGAGAAATAGTCACCCCAGGAGCCCAGGTCCTTCTGTTCCTGAGCCCATTCTGAAAAAAATAGCAGATGTTTAGGCAGTAAACTTTCTAATATTACTAACAGGAATTTCTTTTCAGCTATATCTTCTCAGGCAAGGGAAACAAAAGAAAAAATAAACAAATGGCACTACATTGAACTAAAAAGCTTTTGCACAGCAAAGGAAACCATCAACAAAACAAAAATACAATGGGAGCAGATATTTGCCAGTGATACATCTGATAAGGAGTTAATATCCAAAAGTTATAAATAAGTCATACAACTTACCACAAAAACAAACCATCTCATTAAAATGGTCAGTGGACCTGAATAGACATTTCTCCAAAGAGGACATAGAGATGATCAGTAGACACATGAAAAGATATGCAACATCACTAATCATCAAAAAATGCAAATTAAACCACAATGAGATATTACCTCACACCTGTCAGAATGGCTATCATCAGTAAATCAACAAAGAATAGGCGTTGGTAAGGATTTGGCAAAAAGGGAACTGGTTGTGCATTGTTGGTAGGATTGAAAATTGGTGCAGCCACTATGGAAACCAGTTTGGAGGTTCCTCAAAAAATTAAAACTAGAAATACTTTATGACCCAGCAATTCTACTTCTGGGTATTTATCCAATGAAACCCAAAGCACTAATTCCGAAAAGATGTATGTATTTACAATAGCCAAGATATGGAAGCAACCTCTGTGCCCATCAGTAGACGACTGCATAAAGAAAACATACATATAGACAGTAGAATATTATTCAGCCATAAAAAAAGAGTGAAATCTTACCATTTGTGACAACACTGATGGACCTAGAGGGTATTATGCTAAGTGAAATAAGTCAGACAAAGACAAATACCATATGATCTCACATGTGGAATCTAAAGAACAAACTAATGAAGAACAACAAAAAACCAAACAGACCCAGAGATACAGAGAGCAAACTGATGGTTGCCAGATGGGAGGGTAGTTGGAGGGCTGGTCCAAAGGTGAAGGGATTAAGAAGTACAAATTGCCAGTTATAAAAATAGTCATAGGGATGTACAGCATGAGGAATATAGTCAATAATATTGTAATAACTATGTATGGTGTCAAATGGGTACTATACTAAGTGGGGCTCACTTTGTAAATTACATAAATGTCAAACCAGTATGCTGTTCACCTGAAGGTAATATAAAATAATATTGAATGTCAACTGTAATTGGAAAATAAAAATAATTTTTAAAATATCACTAATAACATTTAATATTACATCTAACAAATGTTACCTCTAGAGTGGAGCTAAGAAACAGTATGAAGGTTTATTTTTTCATTAGGTAACCTTGTATTTGATTTGAATTTTTCCTTGGGCACACTTATCTATTCAAAAATATTTTTGTTAACAATCTCTTTAATGCTTCTTTTGAATAAAAATTACAAACTATGTTAATGTTTCCTTCTATTTATCTCTCTTATAAGGTTAACCATCGATGCATCCTTTTAATACTCCAGAACTACTGTGACATTAGCAATTAGCATGGATTGGTCCATAGAGCCCAAAATGTGTTTGGAACAGTTATATTGTACAATTTGAGATTAAGATTAGTGCATCTGAACTATAAAATTTTATAAACCAATGCCATTTTATTTCTTTTAACGTATAGTTCAGCTAGAGTAGTCAACAGTTATCAAGTAGAACTGCTTTCAAGCCTGTTTTTAATAGTGTTTTTTTCACCAATCCTTTGCAATTAGTGCATTGTATATAGCCTTACAATAGCTATGTTCTCTCTTTGGTTAAAGTTGCCATTGCCCCAAATGGAGCCTTACAGCTGGCCAGTCCAGGCACAGATGGAGTACAGGGACTTCAGACATTAACCATGACAAATTCAGGCAGTACTCAGCAAGGTACAACAATCCTCCAGTACGCACAGACTTCTGATGGACAGCAGATACTTGTGCCCAGCAACCAGGTGGTTGTACAAAGTAAGTATGCTTAAGTGTCTGTGGAAAGCACCTCAAAGTACTTTCAAAGACACTTATGAATTAACTCATTCTTTTGATCACACAGCTGCATCAGGAGACATGCAGACATATCAGATCCGTACCACACCTTCTGCTACTTCACTGCCACAAACTGTTGTGATGACCTCTCCTGTGACTCTTACATCTCAAACAACTAAGACAGATGACCCCCAGTTGAAAAGAGAAATAAGGTTGATGAAAAACAGGTAAGTGGTAAAATTAAACTGCCAGAATGGGTAATGATTTTGCAAATCTCAAAACATAACCAGATATTAACTAGAATTGTATATTAGAAATAAGGGAGCGAGGTTTATTATGTCAGCTTTATTTTATTGAATATTACATTATGTCTAGTTCTTTTCCAAGGATGGATCAATGAGTCCCATTGCTCAATCTATTTATTTAACAAATGACCTAGAGTTCCTCCACTGATATGTGTCTTTTGAATAACACTAGTAAGCAAAGCTTTTTCCAGCAATATATTTGTTCTTGGGCTGACAAAGTTAAATGAAAATAATAATAATCTGTTACTTGCCATTAACTACAGCAAGAGGAGGAAAGAATTAGTGGGATTCTGCATAATACATAATTTACTTACTGACACAGAAATGCTCTTAAAAATGAGTTTTGATCATGAAAACAGCAGTGGTTTAACCGCAGAAATATTTACTTTTATTTTAATTGTATTTTAAATATTGTTGTATGCACTATATGTTCATCAGGCATGAAAACCACTGGTTCTTTGAGAAAGAATATAATGGATAGTCTTCTGCAGTGTGTTCAAGGAAAAAAAGATTCCAATAAACTATATTTGGAACAAAGTTAAATAACTACAGATACAACAGATTTTTTAAATTACTATGGGATTCTATTTTCAGCTCCTCTCCAATAAGTAAGAAAATTAGAATAAAAGGATATTTTCTAGAGCAATTAAAAATACCATAAAAGGACCAGATGGATGCATTTAATTACTTCAAGATAGACTGCTTCTTTACTAAAAACTAAGAGCAAGCATCTCTGTAAATGGACTTCGTAACAAGGCAGGGACTGTCTATTATTTTGGAGGTTCCAACAAATGCAGTAAGATAAATAAATTAGGTAAATACTAGAAAAGAAGAATTGTATTTGTTTGCTTATGATATAATTGTATACCTAGGAAATCCAAAAGACTTGTTAAAAATTACTAGAATGAGACTTTTATTTCTGACAGTATGACCTTAACTACATAATAGTTTTACAAGCATGATGAAATAAAAAAACTGTCGTTTTAAAAGATTGGATGAGCCTTTAGGAAAGTAAAAGAATTCTTTTCAGATTAGGAATGAATCAGAAGCACGAGGCCATGAGAGTAATAAGCAATGAAGCAGCCCCTGTATAATCAAGATAAATTCAGATCTTTGTGATTGGTATAGCTTTATTATGCAAAGTGGACCTGTGCAGGCTGGGAAACTGGGTCAGAAATTATTCTTCATGAGGTCAAGACCCAAGAAGTGCTACACCCATAAGCTGAGAATTGTAATTTAAAAATGGATCTGAGTTCATAGTGACCCCAATTGCTTGGAAGAAAACCAATCTTGACACAGGCTTTAATGAATTCCCATACACTGAGTTCTAACAAATACAAATTGAAAATTATAGACTACCCAGGGAATTAGGCCTCCATTGTGAAATGCGCCAAAGCCCTAATGTAATTTTCAAAAAAATCTTGGAGGTATTTTTATATATTTATTTTTAAGATGAGGAAACTGAGATCTAGAGAGGTTGTTACTTACCCTAGGTTGCACTGCTTAATAAGTGGTAGAGGTAGAATTTAAACTCACAAGTCCAGTTTTCAGAGCCCAGAGTCTTAGGTAATACTACACTGCCTTTCAGGAGCAAGAATCAGCAAAAAAAGCAGACAACAGGAACGAGTTTTGTAAAGTCTTCTGTTAACTAATGAAGATAGGAAAAGAAGTGTGTGTGTGTATAAAGAAAAAAAGATGTCATTGAAAATCAAAGATCAAGAAACTATAGAAAGTGATAAAAATTGGAAAAGAAAAATAATGTTATTATTAGCAAAGATATATTCATCTGCTTAGAATATCTAGGAGAATCATCTGCAAACTATATGAAAGCTTAAAAAAGAACCAGTTTGTACTGGGAACCCTCCCTTACCAGTTTAGTAAAACAGGAATAAGAGGGGGAAATTATAAGGATTTAAATGAAAGAAGTAAACTATTTTTATATGATTGCCTATTATGAAAAACCCAAATGTACTTAAAAAATTAGTAGAAGTAATGAGTTTTTAAGGTTTAAGATATAAAACAGCTTTTCTGAAATTAGTTTTATTTACATCGGCAATAAAGAGTTTGGTAAATAATTATTTAAAAGGCATCATTTATGTTATCAACAAATAAAATACCTGTGAATAAATCTAACAAAAGATGTCTAGGACATTTATGAAAAATATTGTAAAATGTTTTTGAAAAACATTAAGAAAGATCTAAATAAATGGAGAAATATACTCTGTCCACAGATATGGAAACTCAGCATTATAAAGATGACTATTTTTCCCCCAATTGATCCATAGATTCAATGCAGTTCCAATCAAAACCCAAACAGGTTGTTTGAAGAACTTGACAAGTTGATACTAAAATTTATAGAAGAGTAAAGGGCCAAGAACAGCCAAAATATTCCAGACAAGAATAAGGTGAGGAGATATCAAGTTTTATTTAAAGTTGTGGTAATTAAAATAGTGTGATACACTGAGATAAAATTACCCATGAAATAGAGAGCTTAGAAACAGATCCATAAACACATGAAACCTTGACAAATGGCAGGGCAGATTATGGGGAAGGAGGGACTCTTTAATAAATGGTGCTAAAATAGTTATTTATATAGTAAAAAAAAAAATATTTGATTTCTTCCTCACACAATACACAAATGTCATTCCAGATAGATTAAAGACAAATGTGAAAGATGAAATTTTAAAAGTTAGATGAAAATATATAATCTTATGATTTCAGGTATAGGGAAAATTCCTTAAACAAAACACCACACATCAACATTAACATTAAAGATTAATGAAGCTTCATTAACAATAATGACTTCTATCCATCAAAACATAAAGCAAGTGAAAATATAAGCTTCAAACCTATAGAAGATAACATACCTTACCAAAAAAAGATTTGTTTGAAAAAAATATAAAGATCTAAATTAAGAAGTACAACCCATCGGAAGAAAAAAATTGGCAAAATATATGCATAGGCATTTCTCACAAAACAAATAGTTATAATCATGAAAGATTGCTTACCATTATCAGTAATCAAAGAAATGTAAATTAATACCCGACACTTAGATACCATTTATCCCTACCCAGTTGACAAAAATCTTAAAAGTCTAATCTGGAGCTGGCAAAGGTTTGAAACAGTAGAACTTGGATACTGCTTATGAGAGTGTAAATTGTTGAAGCCGGTTTAGAAATTAATTGGCCTTATCTTGTACAGTTGACCTGGAATGCTTTGTGATTCAGTTGTTTTACTCTGTGACTGAGAAAGACTTGTAGGAAGTAGGCATAAGAATGTTCATAGCAGCCGAAATCAAGAAACAACCCAAATAACCATCAGTAACAGAATGGGTACATAAATGTGGTATTTTGTATTTATACAACAGTATACAATGTAATATAGTGTTCATTTTAAGTGAATGATCAATTTAACATATTAGAAATATTAAGTTGAGTAAAAAAAGTTGCAACAGAATACATAAAGCAGAATATTTTACAATATATTTTAGAAAATAAGCAAACTAAATGATATATAATTTGGAGACATAGCCATCTATAGTAAAACTAAAAAATTAAGCAAAAGATTGAAGCTAGTAATTGCTTCTGGGCAAGAGGCAGGGGTATGGAATTAGGGAATAGGTCAGAAGGCCCTTCAACAATATGGATAATATTTTCTCCTAAGTTGGGTATTGGGTTTACATGTATTCATTTTATTATTATCCTTCATAAAGACAGTTAATATAAAATGTCAATTCTTCCAGAATTCACATATAAATTTAATGTGATTCTCTACAGATCTTTATAGAATTCAACAAAATAGGCTAAAAGTTTACATGGAAGAAATAAGTATCCAGGAATAGGTAAGAACAGAAAGAGGTTATTTGTCTTATATGGCACTGAAATGACTCTAAAGCCATCATAATCAAAACTTGGTATCAGTGAAGAAGCAGACAATTAACATTAGCAAGTGGCATAGAGAGGCCAGAAATAGCTTGTTGTGCTAGTTAAGTACACTTGTAAAGGATGGCTTATTTAATAAAAGATACAGTTGACTCCACACTTGGAAGAAAATTAAATTGGACAATTTTTTTATACCATATACAAAAGTAATTCCAGATGTATTAAAGGCTTAACTGTGAAAATTAAGCAATAAAATCTTTAAAATAAAATTTAGAGAGAACTATATAGTATATGGCATTTTAATCTAAGCCTAAAAAAAGAGAGACCAAAAACATTTATAGCACAAGATATGAAAATATCAGAAGTCAAATGATAGATTAGAAAATAGGGTAAAAACAGGTAAAGGATTATATGTATAATGCAGAGAGAGCTGTGCATTAGGTTGTTTGTCTTTCTGATAAATTCTAATTGTAAAATGGGCAAAAGGGTATGAAGGGACAAAAAGTATAAATAGGCAGTTTGCCTAAGAGCAGATCCAAAAGACCAACAAACTTTTGAAAAGATACTCAATATCACTAATAGGGAAATGAAAATAACAGAATGTCTACATGGCAAAAAAAAATCTGTATACCAACATAGAAACAACATTAAAACAGTATGTATAAACAATCAAGTTGCAGATAATATCTACAGTACATAGTATAAAAACTCAAAACAATACTTTTTACTCTGTATGTGTGTAAATCTTGTATGTGACTTCATAGAATCTGTGGGTCAAAAATTAACCAGAGGACCCATATATTTTACTCCTTAGTATTTATCCAAGAGAAATGGGACATATATTCACAAAGACTGACACAAGAACATGCGTAACAGCTAAAACCAGAAACAGCCCAAGAGAATGGATCAACACATTGTGGTAATATTCATACAATGGAATATGCCCCAAAATATAAAAGTATAAACCAGCATGCAGCAATATGGATGAGCTTCAAAAATATACTGAGTGAAAAGAGACCACACACAAGACTACATGCTGTATAACTGTTATGTGAAGTTCCAGAATAGAAAAAACTTCATCTGTGATAAAAATCATAACAGTAGTTGCTTGGGGAGAGGATCGATCAGGAACAGTCATGAGGGAACTTTCAGGGCCATGAAAAATATTGTCATGGTAGGTGTGTGAGTTATACAGGTATATGCATATGCCAAAACTGACTGAATCCTATACTTAAGATCTATATTTCACTGTATGTAGTTGATACCTTAATTTTTCAAATTAGAAAAAAAAAGATCAGGGAAATTTGCTAAAGTGCATTTACCATTTAAAGAATGTGAACTTTTTCTAATATTGTTTTTTTAATGCTTATATTTAGAGAAGCTGCTCGAGAATGTCGCAGAAAGAAGAAAGAATATGTGAAATGCCTGGAAAATCGAGTTGCAGTCCTGGAAAATCAAAATAAAACTCTAATAGAAGAGTTAAAAACTTTGAAGGATCTTTATTCCCATAAAAGTGTTTGATTCTTAAGAAAATATTTTTGTGGACTTGTCTAAAAATTAGATGGAATTTTTCTTTTTAGTGGAGTTTCATAAATTAAAAGGTCAAAAATGAAGCTTTTAGACTTTTGCAACTCAAAGATAAATATCTTATGCAAGAGATCTAGTGACAGAAGATAAAGTGGAAAATTACCTCATGGAAGTTACTGGCACAACTGGAAACTCTGTAAAAATTAAACATACTCAAGAAGCATGAAATGAACTTTCACCAATTTGAATTTTCTAAATAACGGTAGTTGTCAATCCAAAAATGGCGAATAAAATTTGCTAAATTGAATTTTTAAAAAATAAATCAATTTACCCTATAGGTTTGTAGTTCTTACTATTTCCTAAAATTTACTTTTTTTAATTGTGTGCATGTGTATTTTATTTCTGCCAATAAATTCTAAATTACAAATAGAAAAGCTGATACATAACTAAATATAAATTATGTGTTCTGATTACATACATATACTCATTCTATTGTCAAGTCTTTAAGTGGGTTTTTAAGTTTGTTTATTGGACTTGAGAGGGTTTTTTGAGACTGGATTAAACTATTTTTGAGGCCTTTTCCTAAAAGGCATCTAAGGTACATGAATGGAATGTGGTGATTTTGTAACATTTTTTTATCGGAATGGAAAGAAAACTGTTTAAAAGTTTGACACTTTTAAATAGTTTGTTTTTGCATATTTGGGGAATGGTGATTTTCTACAAATATATAATTGTTTTTTGATTCTATATTCTATATGTGGTTGAATATACATTATTCTGTTGTGCTTTAATAGAATGGAATGTTTACAGGCCCTTGAGGTGATAATAGAGTATTTTTTAAAAACTTTCTAAAGATGCATACCAAAGTTTTCCAAGAGGATTTTATAATCAATTTAATGTAAGGTTTATCAGATTCTAAAATAATAGTTATTAAAGCAATTTTATGTTAGAGACTATTTTGTAATGTAGTGAATGGTACATTTATAAAAGTGACTGCCAATATATTTTTATAGCTAATCTTTATAAATTCTAAAGTTGAGTTTTTAATGATTATTTTAAATGTTTATAGAGTTTGTTTAGTAAAAAAAATATTTTGCATCTCAAACTATCATTTTTATATTATGGGAAGTAAAGTTCCCAGATTGGGTAATTGAATTCTAAGTTTTGTATGCAGTTTATCCAAAGTTCAAAAATGCTGTCAGTACACCGGTGTTTAACCTCTGTATTCCAATTTGTATACATTTTGAAATTGTACTACAAAGCTAGTGTGCGCTTCTTATACAATATGTATTATATTGTTGTCTACGAAATTAAAGGACATTTGATGAAATTAAGTTTGCTGAATGTAAAATATATTGCTTGACATATAAATGACAAGCTTCCTGATAGCCATTGTTAATTATACTAACTATAATGTATTACTAGGTTTAAATGAGGATAAATTTACAACTCTGATCTACATGACCTATTTTAAAATGGGATATGTTTGTATGTTTTGACTCAGAAGCAATTATCATAAACTAAAGACAGCAGACGTTTTTTGTTCTACAGGTATTTAGGACATGATTAAGGAGCCTGTTACATAGAAATCTTAACCTAGTTGATAAATTTATGATTAATCTTAATGAAAATTTCATTAACAGGGTCTTTTAAAATGGGACTCCATTTACTTGGAGTTAAGGGGTCACTGGGTTATATCAGGAGTTTTTAAAAAGATAATATATTGGGTAGATGTTATGTTTGGCTGCAATAAAAATAGTCTACCTCTTAATGCCTTAACAGCTGGACATCCACAAATATTTGTACTCTCCACTGCCCGTAGACTTCTGATGTACAGCCTTGCTCACTAGTTCAGGTTACCCAGTCTAGCTGTGTGTAACAGATATGGGCAAGCTACTGAAGATTCTATAAGTGCCTACCATATTATTCCTAGATGTTTTTCTAATTTGAAGCCAATGTAGGGCTTGTGGAATTTTAAAGGTAATTATAATCCAAACCTGAAGTTAGATTTCAGAAGTTCAATAGACCAATGAAATTATTTCCTTACCTCAATTTAGTATTTTACATAAATTGTCAGTTTATTAATTTATATATTATATCGAGGAAACACATTGCTCATGAACATATCTTGAGCATATAAGACAAAATATCCGTTTAATTTTATTAAACAGCATAAAGAATGGACGTGTTAGAGCTTTGGAAATCTTACTATATTTATTCATTCAGCAATTATATCAAAGTTAGTTGTTAAACGTGTTTTTTTCCAGTTAAAATATGTGGAGTTAGGAGGATATAAAATATGTATTATGGCTTAGGATTAGATAACTGTCATAATGGCAGTTCACATTCCCAGAAAAGATGCTGTAAATGATAGAAAGAGTGAAATTTGACTAAGGGCTTGATAGTTACTTTAAAGGAAAGTCACAGGTTATAGTGAAACAAAATAATGTCAAAGTATATCAAAATCTAATTGCAGTAGCCATCTAACATTATTTACTCTTATACAAAGTAGGTTTCTATTTTTAATACTGCTTGTTTTTACTAAAAGAAAAGTGAAAGAACACTTAACATCAAGGTTGTAGAATTCAGAAGCCTGCTCTAGGGAAAGTTTAGCAGGAATCTTTGAGGTTTGGAAGAGGTTTAGGCCATTTAACTGTCTTTTTTTTTTTTTAAGAGAGTCTGATAACTCTATTCCCTTGCATCACTGTCAGATTTTTTGCAGCAAACATAGGCACTAGTGATCAAGTTTTTGTCATTTTGTTATTAAGATCTTTTTCCTCAAAATTGACATGATAAATGTAGTAGTTTGCTGCCTTTAATAAGTATATATAACAGTTTTTAACTTCAATTTAAATTGTTAATAAATTCAGGGTTTTCTGCTTATATAATATACAGTCATATCATTTCTTTAATTACTACTATTTATTGAGAGCTGACTGTGCACCAGAAACTATTAAAGTAATGGTATTCATTCATTTGGGAAATGTTTATTGAAGGCCTTTTATATGCCAAGCATTACTAGGAAAAGAGTAATGAACAAAGCAGTGTTGTAGCTCTTGTAGAACCTTGTAATATCTTGTAGATAAATGTCATCCTGATTGGTACTTGCCTAAGATGATAAGAGCATTAATAACTAGGGGTCTGTGATTTAAACTTGATTTCTAACCATTCTATCCAAAATATAGTGGTCTGTCCCCCACTCCCATCCCCAACACACATATTTATTAAACTCTAGGGGGAAGCTGTCTCTTGTGTTCTTTCATATCCCCACAGTCTAGGGCAGTGCTTGCCTGGGTCACAGGAGTGCTCATGTTTGTTAAACGAATTAGGGTCTGGGGTTCAAATTCACTAAGGCACAGAGGTTTGATACTTTGCCAAGGTCACACAGTAAATAAAACTAGGGTTCAGACCTAGGTCTGATCATCTCCAAAGTTCATGATCTTAACCACCTGACGTCTGTGTTGAGTCTGAAAAGCTTTGTCTCATTGTACAGTAAGCCCTCACTTAATAGGTTCTGCAACTTTCAGCAAAACGATGTATAATAAAACCAATTTTACCAGGCTAATTGATTCTATAAACAAAAGTTCCTACAGCATCTCACCAACATTAGAACAAAACGATGTTGAACAAAACGATGTTACTCAAGGACCTGTTGTATCTTTATGCACCCATTTAAGATTTTAAAAGTTCTATTTAAAGGTGTCCACTAGATGGCAACCTCCACTTTAAAATCACAGTTTACAAATTTAAATACATAGGAAACTACACAAGTTAACACATCAAATCCTTGCCCGCCCACCATCCACAATGGATGTTAACATTTTATCTTTACTTCAGATCATTTTTTTTTAAGAAGAAAAATACACACATGAACACCCGCCACCTTTCCCTAGTCTGATTTCCTTCTCTAAAGGAAACCACTAACCATGAATTGAGTGTGGATCCAGTCCATGTGTTTATACCTACTACATGAATTCATAAATAACATGTATCAGACTGTACTATCTTTTTTAGAAGTTCATAAATGGTACCTTAGTAATATACCATTCTCTAAATGAAAGGTCAAGCACACAAAAGAAAACAGAATTTTAGCTATGGTAATTTAATACTTTGTTTTAGAAAACAACTGAGCATTGAAACATTTATTTTCAACTGACAACTCTTAGAATTTAATATCACATCTGGAAAAGGTCCTGGACCAAAACAATTTAATTCAGAAAACACTGCAAATACTACTTAGATTAAGTTTACAAAACACTAAACAAAAACTTAGACTTTGTAACAATGAATTTTAAGGAAAAACAAAATTCCATCACTTCTTTGCCCACGGCCCACTGCCATCATAAATAAGTAAATATAATTTTATGAAATAACTGCATTGTCTTCAGTGAAGGATATGAAATAAATGAAACATGGTCTTTCACAAACAAATCACTTGCAGAAATGACAAAAGAACAAAAGCCCTCAACTTTTCACTATGTCGTTGTACACAGTACAATTCCATACTCAGTAAAAACACTCAATCTAAAAGGCAAGAAAAGAAAGAAACAGGACAAATTGCCCAAAATAAAATGGTAGAAATCTATATTATCAGTAATCATAATAAATGTAAATGTACTAGGCTTTTTAGTTAAATGTCAAAGATTGTTATGTTGAATTAGGAAACAATTCAGCTATATGTTGTTTGTGAGAGATAAACTGAAAATATAAGGATATAGCAAGGCTGAAAGTGAAAGCAAGGAAAAATTTACACCAAATAGCCAAACGTGCTGTTATAGCTATATGTAGATTCAACAAAATAGACTTTTAAGGGAAAATTATTACTTGGGACAAAGATGGTCACAAAGATTCAATTCACCTCAAAGATAAAACGTCTAAACTTGAATGCACCTAATAATACAGAGCCAGGATGCAAAATGCAGAAATGTAATGAGAAAAATTCTCAATCTTAGTTTTTACTATACTCTCATGGAAACAAAAAGCAGGAAAATAATCATTAAAGACATAGATTTGAACAATTTAATAACCTGACCTAAGGTACTGAATTTTATCACTGTAAGCCACCATTGGTTGTGAAGCATACTATTATCTCAAGTACCACAAAGAAAGAAAAACCATTGCCAGCTAAACTATGGCATGCCATTGATGGCCAGATGCACAGTGCTTTCATAGATGTTTCAATGTGAAAAGTGTGCATCTTATAATCAATGCAATTCAGTGGAGAATACACAACTAGAAATAGTACTTTTCAAACACAGAAGAGTGTTTATGAAATTAGATTCATACATTGGAAAGGTAAATCAACAAGTTGTCAAAGGATTGCTTTCATATAGCCTATTTTCCATTGATTTCTATGTGTCTATCCTTTTACTGAAACCATACTGTCTTGACTACTATAGTAAGTCTTGAAATCAGGTAACATGAAATCTTAAAAGTTTTATTTTGGGGTTTTTCTCCCCCAAAATTATTTTGGCTATTCTAGTTCCTTTGCTTTTCTTTATAAATTTTAGATACAGCTTGCCTGTATCCAAAAAAAAAAAAAAAAAAAAAAAAAAATTAAAAGATTCTGCTGGCTAGGATTTTGATCGGGATTGTCTTAAATCTATATATAGATCAATTAAATTGGGAAGGACTGACATGTTAAAAATATTGAGGCTTCCAGTCCATAAACACAATATATTTCCATTTATTTAGGTCTTTTAAAATTTTTTTTTTAGTGTTTTGTAGTTTTCAGCATAGAGACTACGCACATATTTTATTAGATTTATACCTAATTACTACTTTCTCTTTCTTCTTATAGCTATTTAAAATGTTTAAATTTCAGTTTCCAGTTGTTCCTAGCTAGTATTTAGAGGCCTTGCATCCTGAAACCTTACTAAATTCACTTATAAGTTCTAGGAGGGTTTTTTAGAGACTTTTTGGGTTTTTCTATGTAGATAATATCATCTCTGAATAGACAGTTTTATCTCTTTCTTTAAAATCTGTATGCCTTTATCTTGTTTTATTATACTGCCTGGGTTTTCTAGTATGGTGTTAAATGGGATTGATAAGAGTGGACTTAATTGGTTTCCAATCTTAGGGACAAACCACTCAGTCTTTGACATTAGGTATGACAGTAGGTTGGGTTGTTTTTTTTTTTTTTTTTCTTTTTTTGTAGAAGCCCTTTCTCAGTTTAGGGGAGTTTCCTATTCTTAGTTCATGAGATTTTTTTTTTTATCAAGGACAGATGTTGAATTTTGTCATGCTTTTTCTACATCCATTGATATGATCATGTGGCTTTTCTTCATTAATCTGTTTATATGGTAGATTTTATTGATTTTCGAATGTTGAACCAGTCTTGCACTCTCAACGTAACTACCATTTGGTCATGATGTATAATTTTTTAAATAAAAATCTGAACTTGATTTGCTAATATTTTACTGAAGAATTTTGTGTCTCTGTTCAGGAGGGATAATGGTCTGCAGTCTTCTGTCCTTGTAAAGTTTTCATTTGTTTTTGGTATTAGTGTAATGCTGGCTTCATTTAATAAGTTGGTACTGAAGAATTATAATTCATATATCAAGTGTGATAATGGTGTCACAATTGTTTTTAAATACGTTATTTTTAAATATTAAAATGTTTATAGATAAAATTATATACTTCTCAGAATGTACTTTAAAATAATTTTGTGATGAGTACATGGGGTATATTATTTTATTTTGTGTATATTGACATTTTTCATGCAGAAAAGTTTAAAAACTAAAATGAAGTTGGGACTTTGGTTGTTCACATAGGAATAAAAGGAAATTGATTTCCTACAGAAATCAATTCCAGGTAGATGGAAGACTTAAATATGAAAAACAAAAACTATAAGACCTTTATATGATAATGTAAGGAACATCTTTATGACTTCAACTTAGGGAAGGATTTCTTAAACAAGTAGCAAAAAGTACAAAACAAACAAACATTGATTCGGTTATGGTAAAATTAAGAATTTCTACTCATCAGAAGTAAAATTAGCAGAAGAAAGTAAAAATTAGAGCAGAAATCAATGATATTGAAAACAGGAAACCAATTGAGAAAATTAATGAAATCAAAAGCCAGTTCTTTGAAAAGATCAATAAAATTGTTAAGCCTCTAGCCAGGCTAACTATGATAAAAAGAGGGAGGACACAAACTAACATTAGAACTGAAAAAGGGAATATCATTACAGATCTCATGGACATTAAAAGAATAAAGGAATAATTTGAACAATTTTATGCCAACAAGTTTAATAACCTAGATGAAATGGACCAATTCCTTGAAAAACGTAATCTGACAAAATCCACACAAGAAGAAACAATCTGAATAGGCTTATATCTACTAAAGAAATTGAATCAATAATGACTAAGTTTCCCAAACAGAAATCACCTGGCCCAGATGGGTTCTGTGGTGAATTCTATCAAACATTTAAGGAAGAAATTATACCAACTCTCTCTAACCTCTTTCAGAAGCCATAACAGGACTATTTCCTAACTCATTCCATGAGGCTAGCCTTACCCTAAAACCAAAATCAGACAAAGATAATACAAGAAAATTACAGACCAGTATCTCTCATGAACATAGATGCAAAATCCTCAATAAAATATTAGCAAATCAAATCCGACAATTTAAAAAAAGAATTATACACCATGACCAAGTGGGATTTATCCCAGGTATGCAAGGCTAGTTCAACTTTTGAAAATCAATGTAGTCCATCACAATGGGCTAAAGAAGAAAAATCACATAATTATATCAGTAGATACAGAAAATGCATTTGACAAAATGCAACACCCATTTATGATTAAAAAAAAAAAACTCTTGGTAAACAACAAACAGAAGGAAACTTCCTCAACCTGATAAATATCTACCAAAAAACCTACAACTAACATCATACTTACTGGTGAGAAACTTGAAGTTTTCCCACTAAAATCAGGAATAAGGGAAGGATGTCCCCTCTTACTACTGCTCTTCAACATCATACTGGAAGTCCTAGCTAATGCAATAAAACAAGAAAAAGAAATAAAAGGTATACAGATTGGGAAGGAAGAAATGTCTTTGTTCACAGATGACATGATTGTCTATGTAGAAAATCCAAGATTCTACAAAGAAACTCCTGGAACTAAAAAGTGGTTACAGAAGGGTTACAGAATACAAGGTTAATATACAAAAGTCAACTGCTTTCATATATACCAGCAATGAACAGTTATAAATTGAAATTTCAAAATAATACCATTTTACCTTGGCATCCCCCAACATAAAATAACCTAGATATAAATCTAACAAAACGTATAGGAGAACTTCACGAAGAAAATTACAAAACTCTGATAAAAGAAATCAAAGAACTAAATAAATGGAAAGATATTCTATGTTAATGGATAAAAAGATAATATTGTCAAGATGGCAGTTCTTCCCAACTTGGTCTACGGATTCAGGGCAAACCCAGTCAAAATTCCAGCAAGTTATTTTTGTGGATATCAACCAATTCTAAAGGTTATACAGAAAGGAAGAAGACCCAGAATAGACAGCACAATATTGAAGGAGAGGAACAAAGCTGGAGAACTGAGTACCAGGCAGGGTGGTATTAGTGAAAGAACCAACAAATAAATCAGTGGAAGAGAATGGAGAGCCCAGAAAGAGACCCACAAAAATATAGTCAACCGACCTTCGACAAAGGAACAAAGGTAATACACTGGAGCAAAGGCAATCTTTTCAATAAAAAGTGCTAGAACAATTAGACATCTGTATGGGAAAAAAAAAAAATCTAGACAAAGGCCTTACCATGCTTCACAAAAATTAACCCATAATGGATCACAAACCTAAATGTAAAACACAAAAGTATAAAACTCTTAGAAGGTAACAGGAGAAAATCTAGATGACCTTGGATTTGGCAAAGGCTTTTCTCAGCTTCCCCACCTCCGCTTAGAAGCCCTTACTTCTAGAAGCCTTCCTGGCCATGAAAGCCAGAACTAGTAGCGCCCCAGAGGGTCCAGAATCTCCCAACTTGAACACCTTCCGGAAGCAGGACTCATCCGGGCAACTCGGCCGGCCCCACGGGCCACCGCGCGCCCCTCCCCGCCTCTGCCGCCTCGCACACCTCGTGGTCCGGGTCGTGGCCCGACGTGCTCACCGCCATCTTGCCCGACTGGAGCTCTGAAATGGGGCCGGCGCTGCTGAGCGCGGTGCTGCTGTTTGTGGGGAGCCCTCTCTTATACTCAGAACACTACTTGGTCTCAGAAGGGAGCAGGCGCGGCCCTCCTTGGGGACAGGCCAGTGGTCCACGGTGGCCCGAGGCTGTGCGGGGGCGACCCAGGCAGCAGAAGGGGCGCCGGGCTCAGGAAAAGGAAGGGTTGGAAGCAGAGGGCAGTGTCTGTTAGTTCTGTTTAGACAGTCTCCCTTGCCTCCTGCTCACTTCTATAGTGTTTGATTTTGGGTCTCTCCTTTTCCGTCGTTCCAACTGCCTTTAACTAAAAATTTACAGGCCTCAGCATCCAATTATAATGAGTACAGCAGCAGTAATAGTAAATAGGCCATTCACTTGTGTGGGGCATCTAGATGTGCTCAAAACTTTCCGGGGGGTGTCATTTCCATTGTACAGATTAATAATTCATTGGAATCTAGAGTTGAAAGGTCTATTAGATGACCTTTTCATACTACAATTGAGAAAAATTAACCCAATAAGTTAAACGGCAAGTATTAGAACTTGTAGCTGTTGATTCACCAGTACCAGGGTCTTAAATCGCCATTTCATACAGAGAAGAACGTGACACCTGGCCAAAGAAACATCACGTTTTTATACTTGGGGACAGAATTTTTAAATTAATGAATTCTGTTCATTTAATGTCTTTTTATTTGTAAGTAATTAATTCAGACATGTTTATCTTAATTTTTTTTCCCGCCTCAAAATATGGGCATGCTTTAGGTGTCCAGCTTGCTTAATCAGTTTTTAAAACAGGAATTTAAAAGATTACATTAATGTGTTAAGATTAGGAAGTAATACACATTATATGTTCAGTCCAAGTAATATATCTTTTTTATTTTTAGATTGTGGAATAGCACCACTTGCTGATGGGTTGAAAAGACCTCGGATTATAGGGGGCACAGATGCTCAAATTGGTGCATGGCCTTGGATAGTTAGCCTGCAGATTCAATATGGCAAAATTCTTGCTCATGTATGTGGGGGAAGCTTAGTGAGAGATCGCTGGGTCCTCACAGCTGCCCACTGCACTAAGGATTCTAGGTATGTATTCAGAGCACAACTACTTTATTCTCTTCTGGGATATTTTAAAGAGAGAACCATTCACTTCAGTCATGTTCAGTTAAGCAATGTTTGCATGAACTCATAATGCTTTGTATGTACTACATTGAATATCTGTTGCAATGAATCCTTTAAGTCAGAGGTGAACAAACATTTTCTGTAAAGACAGTAAACATTTTAGACTTTGGAGGCCATATGGGCTCTGTCACAACTATTCAACTCTGCCATCGTGGAACCAAAGTGGCCACAGACAACACATAATTAAATGAGTGTGCGTTGTTTGTGAACACTGAAATTTGAACGAAATACTATTTCATTATTTTAAGTTTTCCCCTCAACCATGTACAAGTATAAAAACATCTGTGCTCATTAGCTATATAAAAATAAGAGACAGGCCAGATTTGACTTGAGGGTTGGAGTTTGTCAGATCTTGCTTTAAATAATAAAGCTTTTCTTTTAGCTTTTAAATTATATTGTAACCATGTATTTGTCTTTCTTACCATTAGATCATGAATTATTTGAAGGCAAGAACTACATGTTTAATTTTGTATTCTTGGTATTATTTAGAGGACTTGACCTGCTTTATAGGAGACATAATCAATGTTTACTGCATCTATGGATGATGTCGATCTTGGAGAAATAGAATTTACCACAGTTAGAATAGAACTTTATGACCCTCCTAACCATTTAATATGAAGCTCTAAGATAAATTTTTTGGGAGACCATGGTACCTGTTATATACAGTCTTGCTTTAGTCTTTAATTTTTAAGAGAACAGCTGTCTTGAAGAATGAAAAGTTAGAGGAACTAACAACTTTAAAATTCAATTGAGGGCAACTGGCTTGAGGGGTAGATTTTAATATGTATATTTTTAAACATGGATTTCAGTTCCATAAACTTGCCTTTTGAGGAACAGATTAGAAAAATGGGATGATACTAAGGTATAAACCAAGGGTACAGAAAGAGATATAGAAAAAAGCTTCCAAGTTAGGAATCAATTCTGTTTTTCCAGTGTGGGTGTTTTACAACTGTTTTCTAACATGCTGTCTTTAAAAACTCCTTTCTACAGCTTTCAAACCTTAAACCAAGGGAGGAGAGGCCTGCTTGATATGGTTTGAAAATGCTTGGAAAAGCTCTTCTTGCCTACTAAGTCCTAACATTTTGCCTTTACTGGTCTGTGCCTTTGGCACAATGGGGAAAACAATGAGTTCAGAGTGGGGAGACCTGTATCTTAGTCTCTCCCTGACACTGTGGTGCAGTGGCTTTATGTAAGGTTCCGAAACCTACTAGATGTATGACCGTGGTCACTGCAGCTTTATTATACTAACAGAACCTTAGAATTCAGAGAAGTATTTTAAATGTCTAGTCCCATCCACTGTCCTGTATATGAATCCTTCTTACAATATTGGAGTAAAGGGTTCTCTAGTCTGAAATAATTATTGTTTTAATGTATTGAGTCAGGCATTTTTTTCATGCATAATTTCCTCTAATCTTTACAACTACTCTTTGTTGTAGAAGACCTGGAGACTTGAGCATTTTTAAGCATCTTGTTCATGGTTCCATGGCTGGAAAGCAACAAAATCAGGGATCAAATCCAAGTTTGTCAAAATGAAAACCCACACACATTACTACAACTATATCTTATGGCTCTCTACTTGAAATACCTCTTGTGATGATGAACTGCTACCTTGGTAGACTCTCATTTTAATTTCAGAAAGCTTTAATTCTTAGGAAGCTTTTCCTTATGTTGAACTAAGTGTCTTGGTTTTCATTCTGCCCTCTGAAAACATATATATAGTAAACTTAATTCTTCTTCCAAGCATTTGAAGATAATGTTCAATTCCACGTAACATTCCCAATACTAAATCCTATTGATGTTTTCACCCCTTTACTCAATAAACATTTACTGAATATATGTTATATACTAGGGACTAGACTAGGTGCTAAGGAAGTAGACATTACTGAGGCATAGTCTACTTTTCAGGAGTTTCTTCCTATCTCAGAGGACTAACTCTGCCACCTTCTATTCCTGTTCCCCATCACTTCCTAAACCTTGCTCCATCAATTATCCCTTATTCCTTCTTAAAACAACCACTTATCAAAGACCTGTTCTGAGATTAGGTGTTGTCTAAGAATGTTACATATAATTCTGTATTTAAAAAGCCCTCCCAGCATCCCTCTGAATAGCTATTATTACCTCCACTTTTACACTTGAAGAATCTAGAGATCAGAGTGATTTGGACTTGCCCAGATTGCTGTTAAGTGGCAGCCTATTGATTTAAACCCAGGTTTCAAACCTATGCTGTTTCATTATACCTCATTGTCTCTTTAGTATTTTTCAATCTCTTCCTCTCGTATCTTCCTACAACCTTCAAACATGTTTAGGTCACCTCGTTGTTATTTACAAACACTACCTATGTTCTTCTCTCCACTGTTAGACTCCTTGAAAGAGAGACTCCCTTTTCCTTCATCTTCGTTGACTCATAAAATCCCAATTGCTATGTGACATTGATGGCCCAAACAATTAAAAATCCTCTTTCATACCAAATCCAACGACCTCTTCTCAGTCCCCATATTTGATCTAACATTTGACAAGTCGACTGCTACTCTCCTTGAAACTATCTCTTTTCTTGATTTCTAAGACACCACTCTCTATCTCCCCTTTTCTTCTTTTCCTTGATGAGTCTCTGTCATCTTTTAAATGGCAATATTTTCCAGAATTCCACCTTCTATCCTCTGGCCTTATCATCTGTACTCTTTCCTAGAGGTATCTCATTTACTTCTGTTTCAGCGGTCACCAAGTGCTGGCAACTTTCAAGTCTTTCCAACTGAGTGATAGTTCTAGCTGCCTACTATATATATATATAA